TTAGATGTTAAATTGATCACACAATATAAATGGAATTATTCATTTATTTATTAAATTTATATGTCACCCATTTCACTGTTGAGTGACTCTGAATAATGAAGTTTTAATTTATACATTCTTCTATATATATGGTTAACACTCGTGGTTCTATTTTGTGTTGGTATATCTGCATGCAATGGAATTCAGTGTTTTCAGCCACACACCATATTTCTCAGTTCAAGTTAAGCCTCTCTGTCTACTAATAGAACTACAAAGTACAGAAATGAGTAGCCAGATGATCTTATATATAAAAAAAAATACAAATGCGTTTTGGTTTCAGTAGATGTATTAGTTTTGCTGGAAGCACTGGATTGGTTTAATGGGAAAAAATGGGTCAATTGAATGCATTCATGGAATATCTTGCAATAATTGCTGTCAATGCCTTTCATTGGAAAGTTGTTGCCTCACATCAGTGTTTCCCAAACTTGACAATTTTAAGGCATGTGGACTTCAACTCCCAGAATTCCACAGCCAGCGTTGCTGGCTGTGGAATTCTGGGAGTTGAAGTCCTCATGCCTTAAAATTGTCAAGTTTGGGAAACACTGCCTCACATGATTGTTAGGAAAAACAGGAGGAATCAGCACTAGTAAGCATCACATTAAGTTCCCAAATGAAAGGTGGCATATAAATAAATAAAATATATGCATATTAATTCCTCAGCAGTTTTTTAAACTTACAAAAGAGGCAGCATTTGTAACAAATCACAGTGTGTTGTTAACACTTCTGTCACTATTCAGCTCCACTGCAATGAGAAAGAGAATTTCTACTGTATTTTTCAATTAATGAAAACTCTGGGTGGCAAGACTCATTTCACTCCTAATTTAATAAGCACATTCATTAATTTAAAAGGGAGTGTTTCAGTATCTATGTGACACCTATAAAGCCATAGTATGGTTTTGAATAGACAAAGGTGTAAAGTTGTTACTTCTGTTGGCAGAGACTTGAGAAATTACAGCAATTTCTCCTATGGGGATGAGCTTTGCACTTACCCTTCTCTAATTGCTTGAACCTCATTGGATTCGCCTCTGTTAATACTGGCTAAATCTGTTTTGCAGTCGTAAGTCCTTCAGCCATAATTCCCAACTATGTTTATAGAGCAAATAACTGTTGCTTGCAGTAATCAGGAAAAAAGTTAATGTAAAAGTTTATACCAATGACATGGATGGTTATAAAATAATTTGCAATAAGCACAATACTATACAATAAGTACAATACAATTACATGTCTGCTTAACTTCAGGAAATTATAGATGTTAGTGATTTATTTTATACAATTTACCATCCACATAGTCCTTAATGAGAATGTAAATTATAAGGTGTAAATTGTCTATCATTAGCAATAAGGAGTTTAATTTTACAAATTAATTTGATGTACATTTACTCTTTAGTTTTGCAGTAGTACTAATTCGATATGCTTAAAATGCTAGGTTTCACAGGATGCCTTTCAAGAGGAATATGACATTATACGCTCAATGTTTGGTTTTCCATCCACTTAAACTTATTTTAATATGAATGTGATAACTTATTGTTGAGAACCAGCTTTCCTTTCACTTTAGCATTACCTGTTCATATCTAGATGCTTGTTCCCATTCTAAAAATGTTGGAATGGAGGTCCTTTGGTTTGCTGAGCTTTTAGAGCAGTGGTTCTCAACCTTTTTAATGCCCCGACCCCCAACCGGTCGTAAGTCGAGGACTACCCAACTGGTGCAGCACCGTTTGCAGAATGGGACTTTTGGCGGGCTCAGCAGGGCAGAGACAGCCTGGACAATTCCTATTGGCTTTTGAAAGCCAATAGAATTAGACTCTATTCAAGAGAGTCTATTCTGTTGGCTTTCAAAAGCCAATAGAATAATAGGGAGTAGCACAGCTAAGGAAAAGGGGGGGAAATGGTGGACTGCATTGTTTGGCGACCCGTGAAATGGTCGTTCGACTCCAAATGGGGTCCCGACCCACAGGTTGAGAACCACTGTTTTAAAGCATTTAAATAGATAATATATATTTAATCAGACAATCCATTACATCACTAGTCCTTTATGTACATTTTAGTTTGGGTTACCTCAAAGTCCTGTATAATTTTTTTTTTATCCACAGCGAGAATTAATCCATTAAAACAAAAAGGGCTTCAGGGTGATTCGCTCTCCAAAAGATGTCCCAGAACACACAAATACAGGACATTACAGTGTCTTTGGGCAACTGAATCATTTCCTGGGATTGTATGCAGCTGCTTTAAGGAATTGTAGACTGGTGCTATGTTTGTGCCCTTTGACATACTAAAGCACCTTTTCCAATAGAATCCATGCTACATAATGCAAACAGATAGATTTATTACACCTTTGCTAGTATCAATCAATAAACACAGACTTCTAATTCTACTGCATCATACTTGAAAGAACTTTTTAGTTTGAGATTATGTTACTCAAAGACAGATTGTAATACTGCTATTATGTTGCAGCCTCTTCAATAGCATGGAGTACATAACCAGTACAGTATTCCATGTTTTTGAAAATAGCATGAACGTGCTGGGACAACATTTCATGACACCTCAAAGCAGAAGTGTTCAGTAAGAGCTAAATTACAAATTACAGCTTGTTCATTTCTAGCTAATGCTGGGTATGCATATGTGTCTGCATAAATTAATACAGAATTTTGTTTAGACCAGCCTATAAGATTGCTGAAAATGTTTGTTACATTTTCTGCAAATATGTTAATTTTCTTTTAGAAATGCATTGTTTTTTTCCAACTAGAGTCATAGGATGAAGGATTAAAAGGAATATTTATTTATTATCCTGCCTTTATTATTTTTATAAATAACTCAAGGTGGTGAACATATCCAACATACTGTCCTCCTCCTATTTTCCCCAGAACAACCCTGTGAGGTGAATTGGGCTAAGAGAATAACTGACTCTAAGTCACCTAGCTGGCTTTCATGATAAAACAGGACTTGTATTCATATTTGCTTTCTAGCTTGGTGCCTTAACCACCACACCAAATTAGCTCTCTTAGGTCTCTCTGAGACATCATCTAGTGTCCGATCTCCTGTCCAGTACACAGACGGTGCATGTTGCCGAGAATGCCAAGACTACAGCTCCCAGAATTCCCAGTCAACATGATTGGGAATCCTGGGAATTGCAGTCCAAATATTTCCGGCAAGTACCAAGGTAGAGGTTTTCCAAGGGTTTTGTTTTCATCTCATCTTCTCCATAATTGGCTGTTGTCATTGCCCATCCAAAAGGGGACTTTTACTTCCACCTTTCCTCCAATCCCAAAACTGCCACTAACCTCCTCCATGACCATAACTAGACGTGAATTGCTTTAGATTTTTTTTTCTTTTAAAGTCAGCTTACCCATGTGGTATAAATAGCATGAAGTACGGCGAACTCATGGTGTATGGTAACTCTTGATGTGGTTGGCAGCCAGCCAGGGCTTTCGGTATTTATCATCCTCTATATATAAAACTGATTTTGCACAGCATTTTAAAGCACATTTAACATGTTCCTTTATAGTGGTTGGCAGCCCAGCCAAAATCCTACACTTCTACTCATACAAATAATACTTCATAAATGCTGCTCCATGTACTCCGATCTTGACCGCTCCTTTAACAGACAACTGTTCTGAGAACTGGTGTTTTTGGCCAGAAGCCACAGACCTCGATGAATATTCCTCCTCAACCATGATTGCCCAGGGCAAGCACGTTCATGTTATAAAAATATTGTACATAATAAAAGTAATGTTTTATTTAAAAAACACTTTGTAAATAGGGCACAATAGAATGTTCAGAACTGTGATGGTAATCTAACTGTAACATACTTAATCCGCTTTTGGCCCGTTTGAATCACCTGGGTTATGAATCTTGTAAAATGTTGGCCAGTGTTGTCAACCTGATCCTTAATGCTCCATAGCAAATTGCATTGCTTTACAAGAATACTTTTTACTGAAAATATTTTTATAAGCATCACAATTATTTTGAGGTTGCTTGAGAAGATTAAAAAAGCACATATTATGTACCGAAATCCAACTCACACACGTTGCCACTTTGGGTTGCATCCTAGAAAAAAATTGTGTATGGTTTTCCCTTAAATTAAGGCAAGGAGATGAGTGTCCATGGTCGAACCTCAGAGCAGAGATGTAAAAGTAAACTTTTGGGATCATCGCACCTCACAGGCATCCTTTTAGTAACTTTAAAAGAATATATAGGGTAAAAAAGTTTTAGGGAATTTTTGCTAATTGTTGTGGTTTTTCAAGAGGCAAAACGGGCGGTGTGTGCAAGTCCTGTATTTGTCTAAGGCAGTAAGCGGACCATTGAAAATTCCCGAAGCCCCTCTCCAAACAGACTTTTTGGTCAGCAGTCCTGCCGAAGATCCCGGAAAACATGGTCAATTCAAGAGACCAGACTTTTGGGGGGGGGGGCTTTAAGAAACGGCGCTTTTGTCCTCACTAAGGAGATGTAACCGCCTAGGAAGACGTGTGTCCCAATTCTCCTAAACAGATGCTCGAAGGATGGCGCGCTTTGCAACCGAGGCGAAGTCTGCTGAAAGCCCCTCAAAGCGGTTGATCAGCCGCGGTGACCCGCTTGCCTTTTCCACCCCGCGGCGCATGGCGAGGAGGAGCAGAAAGCCGCGGCGAGTGCAACGGCGCCGCGCTCTGAGCGCCGATTGAGAGGGCGGACCGCGGCCTGGCCAGCTCCGCTGCGTCCTTCTGCCCGCCCTCTGCCCCCCAGCTTCCTCTTTCCTTCCTTCCGCGGTTGTTCCCGGGGCTTCTGTCTCCTTTCCGGGCATGATGGCTCGGAAGATTATTTGGGAAGGGAGCCCTCCTGGCCGGGCGGGGGGCGCTGGCAGACAGTCCTTATACGGCCCGGCCCGTGCTACCTGGGTCTGGGCCAGGCGCTCCTTCTTTGGGCAGCCCCGCGGCCGAGCAAGGGGCCTGGGGGGCTCCGGTCCGGCCGCCTGGCCAGTCTCGATGCCCAGCACCCAAATATGGAGACAGTCCTGTGGGTCGGCGACAGGGGAGGGGAGAAGCCAGCAAGGGCCTATATAAAACCCGCCGGGCTTTCGCAAGGCCACCGACCAGCAGAGCTGGGAAGAAGCGGCAACCGGAGCTGAGAGCCAGGAACCAACCCCAAGGTGAGTGAGACCGGCAGCCAGAGGGCGGGTGCCTGGCCGGTTGGCTGCTTCAACAGGCAGGACTTGGAGAAGGTGGACCAGCTTCTCGGCGCAGCAGCTCTTGGGACTGGAGGAGGAGACTGGGGAGTAGTGGGGTGGGGAAGAAGCTCAGCCTCTTCAGCTTTAAGCTCAACAAGCGGCCAAATCCTGAAGCAGCTTTGCTGCTTTTCCTGGATAGGTGGAAACGGATGCCTCCAAGCCTCTTCTCCTGATTTTACTACTGTTTTATGGCAAGAGGGAAGGTCTTGCCTTTTGCTGCAACAATCGGGAGCAAGCTTTTAAAGTGAAGCAAGTAATATTTGGTGACATTGAATCACCCAAAGCTGGAGTCAGTGGAGACCAAACGATGGTCCAAGAAATGTAGGCTCAGATCAGCTCTGGAAACAAGGTAGTTTTAGGCAAATCACCATTAGCAGTTTAGGAGGAATTGGAAATGGAAAGTAACCAAATGGGCTAAAACTAATTACTGGAAAAAGTATAAGTGACAGAATGAACTGATCAATTTGTTGCTGGAAACATTCAAATCTTAAGTATTTGTCAGATGAGACCTGATTGGGGTTATTCTTGGGTCCTATCTCTTTAGTTCCTAAACAACAGTCTAACTATCTGTCAGATGTTGTCATTCAGAGTTGGACTGGGTACCTGACAGTTTGAAGAAAGAAAACGTAGCCTCAGTACAAGCTACTTGTTTCACCTCTGCAAATCAATGTGTCTAGTGTGCAGGGAAATGTGGCTTCATATTCATGTTTATTTTGTTTCAAAATTCATGGGCCACCCTTCAAAACTGACTTTTCTCGGCATTTTAAGAAATCAAGTCTTCATTTTTTTTTCTTGAAAATCATATATTTTGCCTGGAGAAATACTCCATGTTTTGACTCTTGCTTGGATGTGTTCGACAACCTTTTCTGTATTCCTCAACCAACAATTTGTTTGGTCCATCACACTTGGAGGATGAAAAAAGAAAATCATCCCTAGTGAATTAATATCAGAAAAACAAAAAGGACCAACTTCAGTCTCTCTTTGCCAACATCTGACATCCTGATTGCTTCAGTTGTACATCAAAATTCAGTATTCTTCTCAAACAAACTTACTTGACAGTAGCACCACTGAAGTGGTTTCGTTGCACTGTACATGTGTGATGTTTACACATGAACAATGTAATATGGTAAACTAGTTATTGGTTAGTGTGTAATTCCTTTAGGAGACAATTGATTTTAGATTTAATTAGTTTTTATAGAGGCTAAAATTACAACCCTAAACATATATTATTTTAAATAGATATCCTTTTGATCCCACTATCAAACTGTAGTTGCACCCCTATTCACTTTCAGAAGTAAGTCCTGTTGAAACAAACAGGTCTTAATACTAAATAAACTTGGGTTAAGCTCAACTTAACCAAGTTTATTTAGTAGCACTTTAATTTCCCTCAACCAATTGGCTCAGCCAATCTCATTGTACACGTTGTACTTTGACAGTAAAGATTGATTTGATTTGATTTGTTACTTGATATTTTAGTTTGCAGCTTTTAATGATCAATAGAATCATCAATAGATGAACAGAGAAGGAGCTTATGTGTTTTTAATATAGATTATTTCTCCTCAGTTTTCTCACTTATTAGTGAGTTGTAAGGGTGAACTATTTCACCATGTCCTTTCCCCCAGTAGGTAAAATTATTGAATTTATTGAGTTGAAAATCTTTCTGTAGTTTCTGTTTTGCATAGATTCCTGGGGCCTCCTGTAATCTTTTTTGTTTTTTCTTCCATTCTTAGAAAGCCAACACCATGTGTGATGAGGATGAGACCACCGCACTTGTGTGCGACAACGGCTCCGGCTTGGTGAAGGCCGGCTTTGCTGGGGATGATGCCCCTAGGGCTGTGTTTCCCTCCATTGTTGGCCGCCCACGTCATCAGGTATGTTTTCCCTTTTCATCAGTTGTGCTTCTCTTCAACAATAGGCATATTGAAAGATGCAGCATACATTGGTTTAAATCTTACTTTATTGGGAAGGCCTGGACTGTGACTAAGGGTGAGAAATTAGTAGGTCTGATGACCCATATTTCTTTCTTTTTCTTATTCTTGTTCATCTTTATAAGATTCAAGTGGCTCCATCTGAAGCTACTAAAATTACCATGACAATATAAGTCCCCTTAACTTTGTAAGACCTACTATTTGGGGATCATGCACTGAAGTGAGTTACATTCTGAGATAGTTGTGAGGTCCATTTTCTGGTACTTCCTAGACCACCATTATTTTGAAAAGGGGAGTGTCCATCATATCCAAGAATCAACACTGTTTCAGATAAAGAATAAAAGATAATGAATTGGCCACTCTGTAGAGACCATTGTAATGTTGTCTATATAATTTCTGAGTTAACTGATCTCCCAGTGTAACTGCTGCTTGGCACTTCCTTTGTTTGTCTTAAAATTTGGTCTCTGTTTTGTGAAGGACTCAAAACCTTAATAAGCAGAGCCCAATTGTGTCTGATTAATTTGTAGTCTGTAAGATAGAAAATAGTCATTAGAAATTGCTAAGTGTTTTTTCCCTCTTTCTTTCTAGGGTGTCATGGTGGGTATGGGTCAAAAAGACTCCTACGTAGGGGATGAAGCCCAGAGCAAAAGAGGTATCCTGACCCTGAAGTACCCCATTGAACATGGCATCATCACCAACTGGGATGACATGGAGAAGATCTGGCATCATACCTTCTACAATGAGCTCCGTGTTGCCCCTGAGGAGCACCCCACCCTGCTCACTGAAGCCCCTCTTAACCCTAAGGCCAATCGTGAAAAGATGACCCAGATCATGTTTGAGACCTTCAACGTCCCTGCCATGTATGTGGCCATCCAGGCTGTGCTGTCCCTCTATGCCTCTGGCCGTACTACTGGTGAGTGCTGGTTGCTAGAAATAGAGAAGCAGAAGTCTGCGTTCCAAGGGAACCCCACCAACTTCTTTTTTTCTAAGAATAAGATAGTCATAATCCAACTAGTCTAGGAGATATTCAGTCATTGACATGGATTTAGGAACATAGACAAATTGAATTGTCTTATATTGTCCTTCTAGCTAAGTAATGTTTCTCAGCCTCATTTACTCCTGATACTTTGGATTATACAGTATTGTCTGACTAGACATATGGAGACTGGATTCCAGTAGTTCTGAAAAGATCCTGGTTGGGAAAGGCTAATTTACATTTACTAGCAATGGCTTTCCAGTTTTCAGATAGAAGTTTTCTGATCTTCTTTACTCCTTTATAGAATGGATTATTTAACTCTTGCACAATATGTTCCCTTCATGCCTTCACTGGCTCTCTACATTCCTGGTCCATTCTAGGCAGTAACACTTTGTCAGTCCAGTAAAAGAATGAAATTTCCAACTATAGACATAACTAAAATCCAGCAAAATGTACATGTCTAGCCTACTTTAGAATGCTCCTTAATTAAAGGGAATGTTAAACTGGCTAACGTTGGCTGTGAGAGTATTGGAAATCCCTCACGACTCATGTAGTTGTGTTGTCCCTTCTTTCCTCCTTGTTGCTACCGGTATGTGTCCTATATCAACATAGATCTGCAAGTTGGTGAAACAAGTAGCCTCCAGTGTTAAAAATTGTATCTCTTCCTTTTTTCTGCAGGTATTGTGCTGGATTCTGGCGATGGTGTCACCCACAATGTGCCCATCTATGAGGGTTATGCCCTGCCCCACGCCATCATGCGTTTGGACTTGGCTGGTCGGGATCTCACTGACTATCTGATGAAGATCCTGACTGAGAGAGGCTACTCTTTTGTCACCACTGGTAATGATGGAACTTCCCAACCCTCTGCTGTTGCTCTAGTTCTTGGCTAATCCTAAATAGCTTGACCATATTTAGAATTGGAAAGACCACACCAGCAGCTCTGCCCACTAATTGCCCCTTAGTTCTTTGGGACACAACCTTGGAGAAGTTTTTTTTTTTTTTGTCAGAACAAAGGAAAATACCATCCAGGTTTCTAGACCACCCCTAACAATGGAAGCTCTCTGGATAACTTTGGACCAGTTAGTTTCTTCTTTCCATCCATGGGGGTATCACAAGATAGTTGTTATGGGGGGGGGGAATGGAAGAAGGCGTACAAGGTATGACACCCCAAGCTTCAGGTTACAAATAAATTTTTAAAAATGTGATATTGATAAGATGGATGTCACTTAAGCTTGTCTCACTCATAGGAATGAGATTAAAGTAATATCATCAAGATGGGGGGGAAATAATCAGTGCACATTTCTGGCTTAGTTATATGGATATGGGGAAAGGTTTCATGGGCATAGGGTGGCACTCACTAAAACACAGAGTATGACATGGACAGAAATGCAGAAGAAAGTAGCTGATGCTTCCAAGCTTTTCTGCGCTGCACAGTTGATCAGACCCAGAAGGTTGTGAGTTTCATATTTTTTCCATCACAACCATTAAACAGGGTGTGAATGTTGGTTTCTTGCTACTGCCAGATGTGTATGTGCTTTTTAGAACTGAGTTTCAGAGTTATGCACCAGCTGCCTGCAGTCTTCCCTCTTTACTATGCTCATCTGTCCCTCCCCTCCCTCTACCACTTTCTGCCATTTTGGGAGGACTTTTTGTTTGGCTAACTGCTAAATTCTTCTCCTCTCCCCACAGCTGAACGTGAGATTGTCCGTGACATCAAGGAAAAGTTGTGCTATGTGGCTCTGGACTTTGAGAACGAGATGGCAACTGCTGCCTCTTCTTCCTCTCTGGAGAAGAGCTATGAATTGCCTGATGGGCAGGTCATCACCATTGGCAATGAACGTTTCCGTTGCCCAGAGACCCTTTTCCAGCCTTCCTTCATTGGTATGTTTCCTACTTAGCATTTCCCATCTTGTGATCCTTTACCTATGGAGAGTTCACTTGCTTGGAATTGCTATATTCCTCTTCCCATTACTTTATTTTGTCAATGCCACCAGGTATGGAATCTGCTGGTATTCATGAGACAACCTACAACAGCATCATGAAGTGTGATATTGACATCAGGAAGGACCTGTATGCCAACAATGTCATGTCTGGTGGCACCACCATGTACCCCGGTATTGCTGACCGCATGCAGAAGGAAATCACTGCTCTGGCTCCCAGCACAATGAAGATCAAGGTGGGTTTTAATTACGCAAATCACAACTATGTAATGGAATACGGCAGAGGATAATAGCACCACGAATTAGTCATTTTTATTCCCCCGATTGCAGTGAGTCCACTCTGAAACGTGAGATAAATCTGGAATCAGCCCAAAGTTTACAAACGGACGTAATCATGCAGAATTATTACCAATGATTTTGGATCTGAATTAGCTTTAGATATATTCCACATCACTGTTTTCAGTGGAATTTCATTTGAATGAACATTTCTGGACTGCATCCTTACATTTCCCTTCTGACACTTTCTGAAATCTTCTAGTATTCAGAAAGAATAGGTAACTGACTCTTGCAATTGATGAAGTCACTTACAAGTTCTGCTGAATGCCTTACCTCGCTTTTCACTTATTTCTCCGTTTGAAAAGAAATTAATGCAAATTACTGTGATTGGCAGAAAATCATGATACTGGCTACAGAAGGACAGTAACTGATAGGAATTCATGATACGAGATTCAGAAAGCGGGGGGGGGGGGTGTTTGCAAAGGATTGCATTAATAGTTTTAAATCTAAGCTTAGATTTGTTTACACTTACGTCATGCCCCAGTGATGGGATATAATGCTGCTCCATTTTCTATTTGGAATTGTTCTTGTGGGGTTCTGCTCTTGTGAATTAAGCATCTCTTGCTTCGTTGTCGGTTTTCCCGTGTTGGCTAAATCATTCCATTTGCCTCTTTCAGATCATTGCCCCCCCAGAGCGTAAGTACTCTGTCTGGATCGGAGGGTCCATCTTGGCTTCCCTGTCCACCTTCCAGCAGATGTGGATCACAAAACAGGAATACGATGAAGCCGGCCCATCCATTGTCCACCGTAAATGCTTCTAAACATGTTTACACAAAAGATCACTATTATTATTATTACTTGGTAACTACTCTCAGGATGACGACATTGTGAAGCGCAGGCTGTTGAACACCTGCCCAAGCCACATTAAGGTTCAATTTTATAACCACTGCCTATGTGACGGTTGCTGCAGACGCCATGTGACACTGAGTGTTTGTAAAGTGTACATAAAATTAACTTATTTTACCTCATTTTGTTATTTCTCAAATTATGCCCTGCGGAAGGAAACCAAAAAAAAAAAATCTTTCAAGAAGCATTAAATCATCAGTCATTCTGTCATGCCCCAACACAGCTGGCTTTGGTGTGATTTATTACTCTGGAATGTTTTTGGTTGTAATATTCCCCGCTCAAGTTATTAGATCACAACACATGAAAGGATTAGGAAATAGAAAGGGTGGCGGTGCATGGCAATGGCGCACCATCTATAGGCCTTGATGGCAATCCTTAGTACATACACATTTCCATAAATGCAGTGGGTGTAACATACATTTATCATTCCTATGACAGATGGGAAAGATGGTGAAGTTATTTGTCCCCTGGTCACTAAGTGAGTTCATAACTAAGCAGGGATTTCAGTTAAGAAAATCCTCAGGAGTGTGAGATCTGAAGACAAACGTCAAGAAGATTTGTATGGCTAGAATCATTATTTTATAAAATCCCTGCACTTATCATCACCAAACATGCATAATATATAGATATTCTCAAGTGACCCAAAATTTTCCTTACCAGTGAAATTTCCTTGATAATGCTGTTCTCGGGAGGATTTGGATTCGGTTCAATGTCCCCTTATCCTGACTCTGCCAATTGTCCAGAGTTGTGCCGGGGTTGAGCCCGAGGTCTCGCCAAACACTGCTATGTAAGAGCCTTTAGCTAGTGCTTAACCAGCATTATTACAGATCAAAAACAGGTGCTCTGCCACTCAGCTCCAGCCTCTTCTTCAATTACTGACTGTCAACCTTAGCTGAGCCAAGGATCTAAAATACCACAGAGGTCAACTGAGATTAGCGCCAGTCTTGTGCTGCAAAGAGACTCTCGGCTATCAGCTGTTGCCATCTTTCACTTTTCTTTTTAGCTTTTCCCCCACAGAAGGAATTGTGTTTCCCCCACAATTTCGCCCACAAATCAGCTTCTTCAAATTACTATAGTCCATCCAGTGGGTAGCAACTGAAGGTCATATGCCAAGGACTCACTGATCACTTTAGACCCTCTCACCCCAAAGTATTATTGTACTGACCCTGCAGGAAAGAGAAATTTGCTTTTCGACCTTCTTACAACCTAGCCCTCCACAGGCTTCATCTCCAATATGCTTTATTTTTGTAATGGACACTAACCCCTTGGTCACCCTTTTCCTGTGTCCCCTCTCCCTGAATCATTTATATGCTCAGAACACATTCCCTCATTTCTCTCCTTTGAAATCTGGGTCTGATTGAGTCTGCACATTTGTTTTCCTTCCAGGGCAAACAGACTATTCCTTGCATAGCTATGGTGTGTCAACATCAGACAACAGGTGCAAACAGTCTGTGCCACCACATTCAGTCAAACAAGCCCAGGTCATGATGTATAATAATGAATCAAACCCACTCTCTGGAATGCCATCTTGCAAATGCTGCACACAACAGATGTCCAGTGGGAAATGTGATACTTTGGAAACACTTCGAGTCTGTGACCTGCTTTTCAGCACTAGAGAAGCAGTTAAAACTGCTATATTAGCTATAAGTTAATTCAGTTGAAGCTCCTCCAGAGTAAACCCCACCGACAGCAATGCCATGGAAATAAGTTGCATTTACTGGCACTTGTGCAGGAAATATTCAGAGACAACAAAAAGGGATTTGTGCAGGAGATACTTCTCACAAGTGGTAGCTTTTGTTCATTCTCAGGAGGCAACATACAGCAAAATGACAGTTTTAATTTTAATCAACAACATGTAATGGTCTTAATTAATTAAGGAACATAAATATTACCAAGGAACAGAACTGTTTTCTGGGATACTTACTGTTGCTTCAGGTGGTTGTTTTTCCTATTACAATGTTTTTGTGTGGCAGACATGTCAAACTCACAACGTCATGTGACATCGCGCAATGTATCGGAGCTTTTTTGCCACTGCCAGCAATAGGATGGGCGTGGCTACGGTATGATGAAACCGGCCCACGGACCGGCAGTTTGACACCCCTGCTGTATGGTTTCGAGCAAAGAAAGCTTGAGAATGATTTCTGCATGAATAAAGACTAATGTGTCACAAGCTTTCAGAATCCATCTACCCACCTATCTGCCTAACCAGGAAAATAAAACGTGAGCTACATTTCTGATTTTTTTTCCTCAGAACTGACAGGGCAAGCTACTGTACATAAACAGAGAGCAAACTCCAGTCCCTTCTAGCAGTGAAGACCTTACCTAGTCAGGTAATGAAATATCTGTAAGCAAACAACCAAGCTCAGAGAGCAACAAGACAGTTCACCCCTGGGCTACAACTCTTACTATTGGTATTGTGGTTTTGTTCTGATGTTTGGGTTTTTTTAGTTGTTAGCCACTCAAAGGCATGATGCTTAGATGGGCGGCCATACAACTGTCCTTCTGTACCTTGACTTAATACCTTGTTCCCTTGGTATCTGGATTGCCACAGTAGCAACACCTTTATTTTAATTGCTAGATCTGTTTATTCAACGATTTTGTCTAAAAAAATGTGATGACAACCATAGTGGTAGAACAGTTGAATATTCCCTGGCGTCTTTCCTTGTGAGTCACATTTCATTATCTCCAAGCTTAGCTTCTCTATTTTTAAAACCCTGCTGTTATCCAGCTGTAACTGGTTCACTCCATAACCATTCCATAGGTGGGAAGCAAAAAGCATTAAGAAGGTGTTTTTTATATAGATAGTCCTCGAAATGGGACCACAATGGGGACCAGAATTTCTGTTGTTAAGCAAGGTGGTTGTTAAATCATGTCTGATATTATGACCTTTCTTGCCACAGTTGTCAAGCCAATCCCTGCAATTGTTAAGTGAAGCACATGGTCATTAAGCAAATCTGACTTCCCCCTTCAGAGCGTGCACAATCTTATTGCACTGAGATAACCCAGGAGTAAACACAGTAAACAGTGGTTTGTATTAAATGGTGGTTTATCTTACACTATCTACAATATCATACACCAGGAACAATATACATACATGTGCTAATACAGCAGGATCCAATAAACCATAATTATAGCAGGAAACAAGAGAGAAAACACATCAGCAGAGCCTTCCCTTTATACAAATGCTCTTAAAGAGACACAGACTCCTCTGAGTCATTCCCACCATTACATTACATCTTACATCTTACATTACATAAGCTGGTTAGCTGTTAAATCAATACCTTGACAATTTTGCTTGTTGGAAGTCAACTGGGCATCACATGACTTCAGGATGTTGCAACCATTGCACATACTTAATGGTTGTCCCTTACAAGCATTACAGCATCCCCATGGTTATGTGATCAAAATCCAGAGGCATATTTATGATGGTTGCAGTGTCCCACGTGATCACCTTTTGTGACCTTCTGACAAGCAAAGTCAATGGGGAAGCCAGATTAACAACAACTGTGTTACTAATTTAACAAGTGCAGTGATTCACTTAGCAACTGTGGCAAGAGAGGTCATAAAATGGGGTAAAAATTCACTTGACAAATGTCTCAGCAACAGAAATTTCAAGCTCATTGAGGGATATATTAACACTGGACTTAGAGTTAAAATCTGAACTCTTCTTGTTGGGAATAACGACAGAAAAATATGACAAGGGAACAATCTACCTGCTGCTACACATCCTGACTGCAGCTAGGCTTGCTTTAGCGCAAAAATGGAAGAGCAAGGAAATTCCCACAGAGGAAGAGTTAATACATAAACTATTAGCATGTGCGGAAATGGACAGGCTCACAATGATATTAAAAGATAAATGTGGATCAGTTTATTATGAAACCTGGGATAAATTTTACCGCTGGAGGAATTTGAAGAGGACAGTAGGGATTAAAGACGAATGTTAAGATAGAAATATATGTTATTTTATAACAAGTATTGTATATAAAACTTAGATGTATATGTAGAGATGAATAATTGATTGTAAAAAGTGGAATAATCTGATAAGAATGTATATACTGGAATGTCACATCAAATCCAATGTTTGTTTGTTTTTAATTGTATTATAAATAAAATTTGTAAAAAAAAAAGAAAAGAAATTTCAAGCTCAATTGTGGCCGTAAGTCGAGGACTACCTGTAATTATTGACTGAAGGAAGATGCTCTGAATTCTGTTGCTCTCCCACATTGAGAAGAAGCTCACAATCCAGGCAGCAGAGCACATACAGTATTGTCAGAAAGTCCTGAGTTTCATCCAAGCAGGCTTAGTTAATTAACAAGAACTTGCTGCCTGTAATATCTGAGATGGGAGACTCCAGTTAGTTAACGCATGAATGCATTTGAAACAAAATCAGCACCCACTCTCAGCCTACTGATTAGAGAAATATTCCCATGGAAACACAAGAGTCTTAACTTAAAACTAAAGGATGTGCCGAAATATTAGCATGGATAAAGGGGATTTACTGGATACCGAGGCTCAAAGCTTTTGAACTTGGTGCTGAATTGCTTCTAATGGGAGGTCTAAAATTTATATGACATTATATATGTGCAAAACATTCTCACCAGGGATACTGCCGAACAATAACTGTGATCCAGACCATCTGGTATTTATCAGGCTTCTGAATACACAAAAGCACAGACATGGACATATGAGGATTATTAGATGTTCTCTGTTATATGTCTTTCTCAAGCACTGTGGCAGTTTATGCTGGATTACCACAAGGTTATATTTTTTTAATACAGTTCTCCTTCAAATCAACAGGATTATCAAATCCATTTCATTTCAAAGTAGTTCCAGTATGACAGTGTTTCCCAAACTTGACAATTTTAAGGCATGAGGACTTCAACTCCCAGAATTCCACAGCCAGCGTTGCTGGCTGTGGAATTCTGGGAGTTGAAGTCCACATGCCTTAAAATTGTCAAGTTTGGGAAACACTGCAGTATGATAGCCATCAGCCTTCAGAAGAAGCCATGATGGTATCATAACATACCTAATAGTACTCGTTCTCTTCTCCCCCTCTCCATGGACACCCGTTATCACAGTAGACAACTCTACTTTTTAGTACTGATACATTAATATAAATAGAGAACTGTCACATCTCAATTTGTAAGCCATTAGTCATTGCACCACTTTTTTTAAATTGTAATCCTCAAATGTTATGTTGTACAAATGGCTTATGTATAA